TGTGAATGCCTGTAATAGTGCGAATGTCTATAATAGTGTGAATGCCTGTAATAGTGCAAATGTCTATAATAGTGTGAATGCCTATAATAGTGCGAATGGCTGTAATAGTGCAAATGCCTGTAATAGTGCGAATGCCTGTAATAGTGCAAATGCCTGTAATAGTGCGAATGCCTGTAATAGTGTGTATGCCTATAATAGTGTGTATGTCTATAATAGTGCGAATGCCTGTAATAGTGCGAATGCCTGTAATAGTGCGAATGCCTGTAATAGTGTGAATGCCTGTAATAGCGCGAATGTCTACAATAGTGTGAATGCCTGTAATAGTGCGAATGCCTATAATAGTGCGAATGCCTGTAATAGTGTGAATGCCTGTAATAGTGCGAATGTCTATAATAGTGTGAATGCCTATAATAGTGCGAATGTCTATAATAGTGCGAATGCCTATAATAGTGCGAATGCCTGTAATAGTGTGAATGCCTGTAATAGTGCGAATGTCTATAATAGTGTGAATGCCTGTAATAGTGCGAATGGCTGTAATAGTGCAAATGCCTGTAATAGTGCGAATGCCTGTAATAGTGTGTATGTCTATAATAGTGTGTATGTCTATAATAGTGCGAATGCCTGTAATAGTGTGAATGCCTGTAATAGTGTGAATGCCTGTAATAGTGTGAATGCCTGTAATAGTGCGAATGCCTGTAATAGTGTGTGAATGCCTGTAATTATTCACACAACAATTCTTTATTGGTCCAACATGAAACCTGCCTGTGGCTCTGTCCTCCATTTTGTTTTTGGTCTCTTCCTGTCTTTCTCTCCAACGTACTTGAAGGCAGAAAACACTGGAATCCTGTTGCTCACATCGTACAGCGTGACGAATCTCGCCTTGTTCATGAAGGTCTGGCAGATGGGTTTGTATCGGTTCTGGTTAAGAATTTTCCCACTCTCCAGGATACCCGGGACATGTGGAGGAGTTTGGTCCAGAAGAAACTGGTCACATTCGGACAGCGACTTCACCACTTTAGCCAACGTGGGAACAGACGGAAGGAGGATAAGAAGTGTTGTAACGGGCAGGAGAACCCACATGTTGGGAGCGTTGGACCTTCAGAGACAGTAAAAACGGGTCAGCACCCCATAAACCAACAACAAATGCACGCTGTGTTACAAACATTAGTTTGACCTTCAACCTGTTGGAACGTTGGACAAACATTGATAAACGTTCAATGGATTTAGCATCAGACTGACTGGGTGGATGCTGTGGAGGAGGGGAATCTCATTTGAGTTCTTTTCATAGTCGTTTCATCTTCAGAACATCGGAAACGAAGCAGAACGTCTCGAGTCACAGACTACAACATTTATCACTTAGACTTGTCCAACTTTTACCAAATGTAGAAATAAAGCAAACACAAATTCTACATTTCTTAACTTTACGTCTCGAGCTCACATTTAGGATGAAAAACGAGAGAAACTCACCTCGTCTGTGTGGACGTGTCGATGGTAGATCAGTTGACTCATACTTCCTGAAAGCTGGTGAGAAGTTGTGGTTCTGAAAAACGTTTGTTCAGCAAAGTATGACGACAAAGAACTTACAGGAAGCAACGTTTATTTCAAATGTAATCATTCTTTAACATCTACAGATGTCATAACAATGTTCTTCTGGGGGGAAGTCCTTCTAAATGACAAAAAGTAGTGACCAAAGAGTCCTTCATCGAGTTGCATCTAAATGTGTCAGATTATTTTTATACCAGCGAGCCGCAGGTTCAGAACCGCTGCTTGGAGCTAAAATCATAAAGTGATTTCCTAAACGCGGTCAGTTCGTCCTGAACAGGTTCAGCTGCGTCGTGCTGTGGAGGAGAGAACATCTGCTGGTTTCCTGTGATGTGATGCTTTCAGCTCCGTCCGGCTGCAGCTTTCTGTCCTTCGGTTGGTTTCTGATGGTGAGAGCGGTTCAGGAGCCGGGTCGGTCAGACCGCCGGTGAAATGTCCTCCTCCAACATGTCCGACAGCATCAGGCAGAGGGAGGAGAAGGACGGGCGGTCCTCAGGTTTCTGCAGAGGGTTAGACAAAATGTAATTCTTTTATTTTCCCCGTTCTCAAAATATTTAATAACGGCACGGAGAACTTTGATCACAGTCTTTAAAAGCAATATTTTGATGTACGGATTATTTCTTCTTCGTGGTTTATGTTGCCGACTAACGGAAAGGTAAAAATACTTTTGCATTGTGTGTTTAGTTTTGAGTTTAGCAGCAGAAGAGGGAAACGAGCAGATCAAAGCAGTTTCTCTACAGGTTTACTCTGGTGCTCCAACACCATGCGCCCTGATCCATCCACTCTGCCACCCACCGAACTGTAGACCCTCTGCACAGCGGCTTCAGCCACAGACCACACCGAAAGAGCGGGAAGACCTCTGTCCTCCAACTGCGGTTAAATGATTCCGTTTATCTGCCTCATCACGTGATCATCGTTGAACTTATTAACTGTTTCTATTGATCAGCTGTGGTTTTTGTACGTTTCTGAAATGTGTTGTTTGTTGCACCTGTTCTTTGTTCTTAGTTTTTTTGCACCTGCTCTTTGTTTTTTGCACCTGCTCTTAGTTTTTAACACCTGTTCTTTGTTCTTTTTTTAGCACCTGCTCTTTGTTTTTGCACCTGTTCTTAGTTTTTAACACCTGTTCTTTGTTTTTTTTTTGCACCTGCTCTTTGTTTTTGCACCTGTTCTTTGTTTTTCTCACCTGTTTTAGATCGTGTTCTCTGTACTTGTCTTAACCTGGGCTGTTGGCGCACCTGTTCTTATTTCATGCTGTTCCTGCTGCTGTGACAATCTTAATTTCCTCACTGAAGATTCATAGTTTCTGTCCTGTTCTATATCACGTTCAAACAGAACTTGTTTTACAAACAGGCCCGCAGGATGATGGGATGGTTGTCATCACATATACCTGGTAAAAAACTTGTTTGTAATTTCTTAGCCTCGTTATTTTTAGAGATAATTAAAGCTGTGTGAAGTGCGGGTGCTGAAGGTGCTGAAGGTGCTTCAGTGCTCCACGGTGGGCGCTACAAGCCTGATCGTGTTCAGTTCCTCACCTTGCACCAACTCGACTGCATGATGTCGTACAGTCCAGCCGTGGCCAGTCTGGGCCTGAAGAGGCGGTGACCCTCACTCACAAACTTCACCACCTCGTTGTTCGTACTCTGTTCGAACGGGGCCCGACCTTCTGTGAACACCTCCCACATCAACACACCTGGACGCACAAACACGAGCAGGTTACAACCATGTCTGACCCCCCGACCTGAAACCATCAGGACGTCAGAAGACCTGATCAAAAAGACGTGTCAATCTCAGAAACACTCATTTAATTCACAACGGATCGCAGTAAAAATATTTAACAAGTTTTATTATAAAAGTCGGGAAATTGTGAATTTTATGGCGTCTGTTTAAAGGTGTTCCAGGTCCGTGGTTCCTCTGAAGAGTCTCCTAACAACTGTCTGCAAACATGCAGGACCTGACGAGACCAGATGTTGAGGGTTTGGAGGACCTGAGGAGACCAGATGTTG